CTGAATATTAGCGTTATCTTATTAATAATAGAAGCCAATTTAACATATTTAACAATATTTTGATCGATTGAGTCCTTGTCTTAGACATGATGGGATTCTATAATCCGTTTCAAGTTACACAAAACATTTTAGATCAAGTAGAATACAAGACTTAGTGTGAGCATGTCTTAAAAAAGTGCGGTTTATTTGATCAGAAATCATTGTCTTATGTATCTTTCTAACACTTAAGTAAACATTCGTTATTAATATTGCATGAAATAATTGTACTGAATATATTTTGTTGAAATTAACGCAGTTTCTATAATAAAACATAAGATTTTTTTTTAAAAGAAGGGGGGGGGGGGATAATATTCCTGATTAATTTTGCATTGTCAATTTAGATACCTCTAGCCTTCCTTTCACACACAAATTAGTATTTCTTTAAATATCAATAATTAATCTTTGAAAAAGAACATTATCAGCAAGTAAAATATACGACTTTTATACCCCCCCCCCCCCCTTTTTTCACTTTAATCGCAAGTTTAAAAAAAATTTGACTTGGGAAAACTCTACGACCGGGCGAAAATGTATGAGGAGGAATGTCTCTTTTATAAAATATAACTTTCAGCCGTAGGGTATGCCGGTCCATTAAACTCGAAAACTAAGCATCTTTTTCTAGGATTGTCACTCCACTAACAGTAATATGTATTAAAGATTCTATGAAAATTTCATTCAGTGGTGTAAGAGGAGTTGCAGATAAGAGATGGGTATACCTAAAGCGCAACAAACAGATGGATGGACATCCCGATTAATAAATACACTCCCATTCAAAAAAGGACTAAAATAGGCAGAAAAGCATTATGGTCCATGCATTTTTTTTGCTATTCATTGTCTCTGAATGTCTTTCTCAAGATTGTTGCAACACATGAAATCTGAAACAGTTAATTATATTGATAATTCACTTAACCTCCCGATCAAAGATTTTATTTTACACCATGTTCAACTCCCATGAGTGCTTCCTGGATAGTACTTATCACGATCTATAATCCCAGAAAGTTTCACATTGATATCGTTTACAGGTTTTTGAGAATATCCGAGGACAAACGTCATTTTAAATTCAGGAAATGGTCCGAAACTAGAACCAGAAGCGAATTTCCTAAAAAATAAATCTCTCGGATAAAATAACTTCAGATAGCAAGTGTATTTCTGTAATTTTCATTAACATCCACCAGGAGTCTTTAAGAAATCGCGTGCACAAAAATTAGTATGAAAAAATAAGAAGAAAAAGAAACTGTAGAATCACTACATTCAAGTAACAGCTTTTTAGCTCACCTCAGCCAAAGGCAGTGTAGATTCAATTTTGTTCCAATTATGACCCCCGGGGATAGGGCAGGGCCAAAATGGCCGACCAAAGTTTTACATAGAAATTTATATGAAAAATCTTCTCAAGAATAGCAAAGCTGAAATTGATCATATTTAATATATGGAAGCATCCTCAGGTAGTGTTTTACATAGAAATATGTAGGAATATTCTTTAAAAATCATCTTCTCAGAAATCAAATAGCCATTATTAATCATATATATATGAGAGCATCCTCAGGTAGTTTAGATTCGATTTTGTTCGAATCATGACCCCAGGGGGTAGGGTGGGGCAAAATTGTCAACCGAAGTTTTACATAGAAATACGAGGGTTGATCCAAAAGTAATGTCTCATCTTCCATATTATTGCTTCTAGTTGACGTAATATAACACACTTGTACATGTTGGAAGCTATATTTATTTCAAATCAGTTCTGAAAAAAATTCAAATAAAAATGCTTTATACCTTTCAAAATATCGAATTATAAAGCATGTGCGATTAGGGAAGTTGTCGCACCTAAATAACGTCATATGACGGATACGTGGCGTCATACATGTTCAATTTAACGCTTCTCTTTCGTTCCATTAAAAACATTTGAGATTCAAAAACACAATTTCACATTTCACTTTCTTAAAGAGTTATTGGCACCAATTGTAAACTCATTCTATTTTAGAATTTAGTTCTCTATAAAAAAAAGTCTTTGAGCATTAAGATAAGACAAACTTAAAGTTTCTCATATCGTTCTGTTTTTGACAAAGTCAGACACCATTGAACGTTTCCAACTGACCTTCTATCTTTCGTTCTTCCTGTCCTCTGCAGATCAATCCATGACCAATGACCTGCCCAAAATCACTGAAACCATTTACAACAAGTCACTTATTAAATTCTTTCCTCTGTGAGTCTGATTTTTCATTGTAATTGTCCCTACTGGCGATTTTCCGATATTAAAAGAAAAACATTATAGCTCATTTCAGCGTTTTATTCCATTTCGAATTTTACTTTTTCAATACATCAGATTAAAAAACAATGTCATGGACCCAAAATAGCATTGATGTCATTAAATTTTTGATTAACGACTAGAAAATATCGTAAGTATTGTCTTTTAAAATATTGGGCGATTATTCCCCATTTGAGATGTTTTTTTAATGTGTTTGCTTTTTTCCATTCTAACATTATACACTTTAAAACGTGACATTTAGTTGTGACGCGGCGACACCCCATTTGTTTAATGTTTTAAACGTCTATAAAATATATTTTTTTGAAACATTATTGAATGAAATTTTGTAATTTTGATTAGATTTATTTTTATGCATTTTTTGGTACATAATATTTGATAATACGACGCCAAATATAAAAGATATGAACACAGTGACATTACTTTTGAATCAACCCTCGTATACAGGGTAATTCTGGCTGCAAAAATATTCTTCTCAAGAATACCAAAGCCATAATTGATTATATTTATATGGAAGCATCCTCAGGTAGTGTAGATTCAAGTTTGTTCAAATCATGACCCCCCGGGGTAGGGCAGGGCAAAAATGGCTGACCAAAGTTTTACATAGAAATATATGGGGAAACTCTTTAAAAATATTCTTCTCAAGAATAGCAAAGCCATATTCATCAATTAAATCAATATGTGTTTATCAATTTAATTCGAAATTCCTTCGAATACAAGTACTTTGTGCAATTCTTGCCCCACAGTTTAATTTTAAATGATGGAGAACCCTGCATTATTTCTTTGAAAATTTCATGGCTCCATGGTCAGGAGTTCTGGTGTTAGTGTGGGGCTTAATTGATATTCTTGTGAAATGCATTCTTTGTAAATCTTTTCTGCTTCTGGCTATTAACGTAATGAATTAAATATATAGTTATGATGACGAAAAGTGCTTCTCCCAAATCTGTGAATTTCATTGCCCCTTGGTAAGGTGTTTTGGTGTTAGGGTGGGGCTCTAATGACTATATAAATGTAGTGAAAATGCATGAATTCTTTGAAAAATTTCTCTTTTGCTCCTGGGTATTAAGCTGATTAACTAAGTTCATAGTAATAAGAAGGAAATATGTCTATTTTTCCAAAATTATGAATAAGGATATGGAAATAACGAACAGTATTCAATCTCAACGTCCATTAAAGAAATATACAAAATAAGAGCAGAGCAAACACGGACATCCGAAACATCAGAGGTGGGATCAGGTGCCATGGAGGAGTGAGCATCCCCTGCTGACCGGTCACACCCGCCGTGTGCTCATTGTCATAATCAGGAAATAACGGAAAAAATCCGTAGTCAATTCAGTGTATAAATAATGGACTAACAATTGGTATGAAAAACGTCAGTCAGCATTTCATTCAATGATAAATTGTATTTGCTGACAAGGTCATTGTATCGACCATAGAATTTACGAAATGATGACTTTAAACGAGACTGTTGATATTCTTGTTTCATCAACTTGCTTGTCAATAATTTACCTCGTTTAAGAAATTGTTCATACGTAGAGCATGCTCTTGCGTATCGAATCAACTGAGATATAAATACTCCGTATGCAGGTGATGAAGGTATATTGCTGCATAAGTATATTTAAGGGAAGTTGACGATAGAAAAGTTAAAGTCATCACGTTTATCATATAGCTTGGTTGTTAGATTACCATTTGTGTCTTTTTCAAGTAAAATATCCAAGAATTTCATGGGCCCCTTGGTTAAGGGTTCCATGGAGGGTGCCTCCTCTTTGAAAAATGGAGGGTATATTGCTTTGCTGCTGTCTGTTGATTAGTCTGCCTGTCGATCCATCATCTGTTTACTTTTTTTTTCGCAGTTGTTACACACATTGAAATAAAATTTTATATACAAATTTATCATAAGAATTTCTAGGTCAGGTTCTGTTTGGGATACAATTGAGCAATTTTGGATAGAGTTATGCACCTTGGACTTAGAAAAATTCCAATTATTTGGGGGCGGGGGAGAATAAGTGTTTTACAAACATCTCTTGTTTATTATTTACTGAAAAAAAAAAATTTAAATGGTCTACTCTGCTTCTGGGTATTATGCAGATGCAGCAAATACATATTTATGATAGAGAAAAGTTTCTCTTCCCATATTGTGAAATTCATGGTCTCTGGGTCAAGGGTTCCATGTGTGTTTGTGCGGGGACTGGGGGGGGGGCTTATTTATTATTTTCTGAATAAAAATTAAGTGCTATTGAAATATTTTTTTCCAATGCTCCTTGGTATATGTATTATTTAAACAAACCCAATACATACATATAGTTATGATGAGACTACTGAACTTGCAGTTAATTGATTAATTAGTAAAATTGCATAAAACCTTTGAAAATTCCTCCTCTGTCCCTGAGTTGTAAGCAAACAAACTAAACAATGTTAAATGCAACTATCTTTATATATATTAAGAAACAAAGTGAAAATAAAAGTTTTGATTAAATGAGCAAAACATGCTCAAAGTCAGATTCTTCCCTGGAAAGCATTGTAAAAGATTGACCTAATGATTATTTCTATGATTAAAAAAAATTGTGCTTGTATGAATAATATGTATCATTTTTTGCAATGGGGTTTTAGAGTCGCTAGTAAAAGATTTATGAATGACAAAAGATTAGATACAGTTGTTTTATACTGTATTAAAGTGAGCAGAGAGCCAGTGTGTCTATTGTCATAAATGACAAGTGGCAAAAAGCCACGTTGTATACCAAAGTCTGCGTGTTCTGAATTGCAGCACCGGGCAATGACAAAACGTATTTGTAAAAATTGAATACCTTACACACAAAGGACAAATGTCAATTTTATATTGTGCATTCGTTTCCATCCCTGTAAGATTTCGGAAAAAAACAGTATAATGCAAAGGAATTTTTACTATTTATCAATTTCTTCTTTTACAGTGGCTGATGATGACTCACCATTGAAGTCATTTATCAGGATAAACGCTGCAGATTTGGAACCAGACCCGGGCAGTGCAACTGACATCTCCGACACAAATGAACAAGAAGACAATTTGGAGCAAGGAAGTACTGATAAAAACTCTGAAGTAGTTTATAGCCGAGAAGAAAAGAAAGAAGAGAACGTTGAGAGGTCGATTTCTCCAACTGAAGGCAAAGAAGAACAAAATACAGTTGAGACAATGGCCAGTGTTCTCTCCTCAGAAGCACAAGAAATGTTGAAGGATGAAATTTTCCAAAAAATCTTGTCTGAAAAAGAAAAATTCCCAACTGTAAGCTTGCTGGATTTTGCTGGGCAGTTAGCTTATTATGCTTGTCACCAAATTTACGTAACACCAAAGGCCTTCTTTATTCTTGTGCTGGACATGACTAAGAGGTTTGAAGATGTTGTAGATAAAGAGAAAGATAACCAAGAAGGATCAATCTTTTCCGTTTGGACTTACAGAGGTAAGACACTTATAAAATGTCAGATGTTTTAAGGTAGTTACCGGTATTAAGTTTACGCATCCATTTGTAGTTTTGTTCATCGACAATACACATTTATTTATCATTTTGTTTAGTAGCATGTTTCATTGAAATTGGTCTAGTGGTTCTTGAGTAGAAGATGAAATTGTGAAAACTATTACAACAACAACAATGACAAACAACGGACAATTTTTTTATCAGAAAAACTGACCATGGCCCTAGATGATTCTCACAAGTTCAAGGTCACTAGCAGAAAAATGTTTAAATCCTTGTCCAGGCCATATCTTTGTAATGGAGAATAACTGGGAGCTCATACTTGATACAAACTTTAATTGCTTGTCATGATCTGCGGGTGTGTTCTGACCTTGAACATGGTCTTTTTCAGCGAGTTTAAGGTCACCAGCAAAAAACGGTATATTATGCTTGTCCAGGTTAAAACTTTGTAATGAAATTTCATTGGAAGATCATTCTTGATACATAGACTATTAACTATCCATGGATGTTCATGTGCTTGACCAAAGGTTAATAAAACAAATTCAAGATCACTGGTAAAAAAAAATTTTAAGATTCACAAGAGGTCTATGATTTTCTAAATGATAAATTTTTCATTTCTGTATTTTACCTACAGAGTACCAGACTGTGTCCATTTTAGCAAAGGTTTTTTTTTATTTCAAGGTCAATTATACAAAATTTAAATAGAAACTTTTAAAAAGATTGTATGGGGATAATTTTTTGTGAGCTTGCTAACATTACCTTAAGTTCAAAATTGATTTTTATATCTATGTAAACCTTTGACCTCTTTCTGTGGTCTCATAACCTGGGCCATTATTTTCATAATTTGAATCTCAGAACGTACTCCTAAGCGAAATCATAAATGGTGGCAAGTTTCATGTACTGTTATGTTTTATTTAAAAAATAACAACCAATGAAATTTTTCTTTCTTATATTAAAATTAATCAGTTAATGCTAAATGGACCGTTCAACAATCAAATGGGGTTATTTTGTATGAGATGATGATCCCATTGGGTAATCATTTGTGACGGGTATCATCACATGTCAGTTGTGGTGGGTATAGGTTTATTTCTTTGGATGTGACCCATAAACTGTCCGTCAGTAGCCAGGAACGCGGATAGGTTAAGGACTCCCAAATGCAAAGGTATATCAGTCTATGCAGATCTTCCGGCAAACGATTATGACATCATGGTGAAACCGTACAAATAATATTCTTTTCTTACACTCTTGTATACTGTGATTTCTCATAATTATTGAAAACATAAATTGCTGTTTAACTTATCTTGTCATTATAACTCTATTTAAATGTTAAATCAAAGCCAACTTGATCTCGCTATACTGACAGTGATGACATCATAGACTAGTTTGACATGCAGTTTCTCTGTACTTGAGACGCAGATCCGGCTATTATTGCAATTTGTAAAAATGAAAAAAACAAATTAAGCGTGATCTGACTAAAATTGAGTCATATTTTGAATACATTACTCAATTTTTCACAGTAATTGAATTTATAATGAATAGGTCTCTTATAAAGCCGCAGTCATGCACTTAAACATACTACAATCACAGGCACAACCCCTCGAAAATCTCAAGAGTTCAACCATATCCGCTTAACTATAAATTATGATATTTTATACACATGTAGCTACATGTGTATAAAATATCATAATTTATTATTAACCCTACCATTTTCAAAAGTGCTTGGAGTAAGTTGTGTACTGTTGTTTTTTTTTCGTAATTTTACATTATTTTAATGCGTATAATGTAAATTTACGAAGTTTTTCAAAAGACAGCTAAATTTAAAATAATTCCCGGGCATGGGGAAGTTGCTCCCAGCACTTTTCAGGTTAAGGAATTTGTCTTAAAGGAAACGCAATCAATTTCATAGTGAAAAATCACTTTTGCCGAACTCGGTTGAGACCCCATATATGCATATGTTTTTAGTACAATTCCCATTAAATGGAAACTCATGCTAAGAGAAAAGATATCAACATTTTATTGATTTTCTTGGAATATTTTAAGGCACATTTCCTATGAGCTGCCTTAACCTAGCTAGGAATGATGAATCTGTTTTCAGAGGGTTTAACCATTGAAATGGACTTAACTTGTCTTCATTTGCTACAGTGTATTTGCCTTTAGAAGTACACTGCACTTTGATACATTTTTAAGCTCTTCTGAGCCAAAGGCTCAAAGAGCTAATGCTATGGCCATTTGTGCGGTGTGCCTTAACTTTTTAGAATATGAGCCATAACTTAAGAACCCCTTGGCCAATCAGTACCAAATTTGTCACAGGGTATCCTTGGCCCAAGGGCTACCATTTATACTAAAATAAGGGTTGGGACCCTAAAACAAGGCGAGAGAATCAGGAATACAAAACCAAAAGTACTGGTTGCTAAAAAATCATCTTCTCCAGAACCACCAGGCAGATTTTCACCAAATTTACATACAAGGATCAGAATATGTTGAAGATTGAAAATTGTTCAAGGCATGACCCTAGGGCAAAGGGCGTGGTCTCAAGGTCACTTCAAAGTTGACCTAAATTTACATTTAATAAAAACGTGTATATTTTTCTTACTATAAAGACTAAGATCATCAAATCTTGTAAGCTGATGCATCTTATAATTTCACATCATATTAACTCAAAAGTAGGTCACGGTAACCTACTTTTTAAATTTTGCAGGGATTTGTTTTAAATTGATTTGAAGGCATATTTTGGACACTTTAAGGCCTATGATCATCAAACTTTGTCAGTTGATGCATCTTAGATCCTTGAACAATGTCAATTTAAAAGTAGGTCACCATGACCTACTTTTTGAACTTAATTACTTATTCTTTTAAAAACATTGAATCCCATCATTTCAGACACTGGGAGGTTTAGAAGCATCAAATCTTGTACTTTGAGACCTTAAAAAATAATTATGAAAAAGTAGGTCACTGTGACCTACTTTTTGAATTTTGCCAACATTTGTTTTCAAATTGTTTAAAATGCATATTTTGATTACCATTAGACCTACGAGCAACAAACTTGGTCAGTAGATGCATCTTGGGTCTTTGAAAAATGTCAACCAAAATGTAGGTCACGATGACCTACTTTCGACATTTTGTGGCTATATTTAAGTATCTTGGGTATTTATTGGCTTAGAATCATCAAACTTTGTGAGTAAATGCATATTTAGTTTTCGGAGAGTGACGATCAAAAAGTTGGTCATGGTGACCTACTTTTGACATTTTATGGCTTTATTTAAGTATCTCTGGTACTTATTGGCTTAGAATCATCAAACTTTGTGAGTTTATGCATCTTGGGTTTTCGGAGAGTGACGACCAAAAAGTAGGTCACGGTGACCTTCTTTTGACATTTTGTGGCTATAATAAAGTATCTCAGACTCTGGTACTTATTGACCTGAAATCATCAAACTTTGTCAGTTGATGCATCTTGGGTTTTCGGAGAATGTCGACCAAAAAGTAGGTCACAGTGACCTACTTTGAATATCTGAGGTACGTATTAGCTTAGAATCATGAAACTTTGTCAGTTTAGGCACTTTGAGTTTTCGGAGAACGTCGACCAAAAAGTAGGTCACTGTGACCTACTTTTGACATTTTATGGCTATATTTAATTATCTGGTGTTTATTGGCTCCGAATCCTCAAACTTTGTCAGTTGAGGCATCTTTTGGTTTCATTGAATGTCCAACAAGAAGAAGGTCACAGTGACCTACTTTTGAATATCTCAGGTACTTATTGGCTTAGAATAAGTAAATTTTCTCAGTTTAGGCTTCTTGGGTGTTTGGATTATGTCGACCAAAAAGTAGGTCACCGTGACCTACTTTTGACATATGATGGCTTTATTTAATTATCTCTAGAACTAATTGGCTTAGAATTGTCAAACTTTATCAGATGATGCATCTTGGGTTTTCAGAGAATGTTGAACAAAAAGTAGGTCATGGTGACCTACTTTTGAAATCTCAGGTACTTATTTAATTAGAATCATCAGTATTTGTCAATTAATGTATCTTGAGTACTCAGAAAATTTCAATCAAAAGGTAGGTCACTGTGACCTACTTATGGTATTTTATAATTATGTTAAAAAATGGCTAAATATTATCTAACTTTGTAAGTTGATGCATTTTGTGTCTTATGATACTAATAGAGTTGTAGGCTTCTAATAGAAGTGATAGATTGTACAATTTATCAGAAGAGCAATTCAAGGCCCTTGGGCCTCTTGTTTTCAACAAAAGATTTGTCATTTAAAACGGAAGGAAGAAGATATGTAAATATTTATTTTTCAAAAATCTAAATATTGCACATTTCATAATTTATATTCTATTTAATAATTATTGATGGGTTTACAAAATATGAAGTCATATTCATGTAATTCTGCTAAACTATTGTAAAACCAAAAATAAAAGTATTGATTGAAGGTCTTTTACTTTCCATGTTTTTAGTATAAAGCAGTAGAGATCCACACTTACCAGAGACACAGACCTGTTTGTTTTTATTAAGGTGCTAAGTTGTTCTTTTAGATTACCAAATTTTGTTTTCTTTTAGATTACTTGAAGTTTTGGATAACCTCAATCAAGACATTTGGAGGCAAAAAGGCACCACTGTTTCTTGTTGCCACACACACAGAAACAAAATCTAAAGATGTAAGTAACCAGACTAATAGAAATGTGAATTACAAAAAATAACAAACCAACATATTTTGAGAATGCACTATTACAGTTTAACTTCAAAAATACAAAAGAACCAAAATTTAATTGACAGTAAATTGTATCACATATTATATACTGTAAATGTATTATATTTAGAAGTACGATATATGGCGGAAATTGGATTTTGAACAAGTTAGCGTTGATTTGATTTGGCGCATATCATAATGCTTTTCTTATATGTGCGAGGCATATAGCGTTGTTCTTGAATTAGGGGAGATTGCTTTCCGCCAAATGTGCTTAAAAGAATACACAGCCAAATGTAATACGTCTACAGTATTTTGTATTGCATCCTAAGTTTCATATAAATTGTAATTCAACAATCGATACCAGATCTACAGTGCAGTTGAAGTCAGTTTGAACTGTGCACCACATTTAATACTGAAATACCTGTTACTGCACATTTTCAAACATCGACACATAATTAAGTGGTTTATTTTACAAATATGAATTAATATTTTATACATGCTTTATTTACTTCTTCAGGAAATAGAGAGGTACTTTGGGGAGTTCTGGAATGCTGTTCCAGACGAGGACAGAGATTGGTTAAGTGAGTCTCTGAATGATCGTGAATATGCAGTGGGTCTAAAGGAACTTAATGATAACACTAAAGCAATGCTAGAGTCAATGAAAAACTCCATAGTGGAATTATTTACGGATGAGAATGCTACAAAAATTGAATTGCCTTCTTCATGGGCTCTAATGGAGCAGTTATTGTATGAAGGAGGCTGGAAGGTTTTGTCTCTGAGTGAAATCTCGAAGCTCAACTCATCTGTTCCTTATGAATACCAAATCAAAAATGATGAAGAAATGACCAAATTTTTAAAATGTTTCCATGATAATGGTCTTCTTTTGAATTTTGGAGAAGCAGAATTGAGGGAACATGTTATACTAGATATTCAGTGGTTTGCTAATGCTTTCAGCAAGGTAATTGCTGATGAAAACCATATCAATAAAGATTGTAAAAGGAAATTAATTAAAGAGTGGAAATCCTTCAACAAAACGGGGGAACTTAAAGATAAAGTGATTAATGCACTGTGGAAAGATGAACCCTCTTTCTCGAAACATAAAAATAAAATTATGCCCTACATGGAGAAACTTCAAATGCTGGTACCTTTGAATGTACTTGAGGCTGTATCAGAAGGTGGCATGTCATGGTATATCCCATGTATGAACAAAAAGCAGTTTAAAGCTGACTTGTTTCATAATAAATGGGAATGCTCATCCATTTTGTGCTATCGATTTACTTCCTTTGCCATGTTTGTGTTCTACAGACTGGTAGCATACTGCATAAGTACTCTAAGATGGAGTGTTGCAAAAGATGAAGACAATGAAGGAAGTCTATGTCTTTATCAAACGGCGGCAGTGTTTGATCACAATGAACACACTGTTGTTGTTGGCATATGCAATGATGATATTCAGTTGCAAGTGCTTAGAATCAAAGACTTGCCTGTAGACAAAGAAGTATCAAATGAAATTGGAGATTCCATTGAAAAAGCAATAAAAAAACTGACAGAAACATTTATTGACACAAAAATATTCAACAGAGGATACAAATGTCAGAGCATAATTTGTAATGAGAAAGATCTTTCTTTCACACTTGCAAGTGATCTCTCCAAAATTAAGGCTGAAAAAACGCAGTGCAAGTGTCAACTTCAGGAGAAACATATTATAGATGTACAGATGACTTTGAGTTTTTGGGAAAAGGTAAATATTGTTTTTAACTAGAATATATCTCTTGATTATATAAGAGCTACGCAAAATCACCTTTTTTGTCTATCATCCTATTCCTACAATGTTGTCCGAATAAAAGCTTTTGCTACGTTCCCACTGTTGTGCGGACAGTTACGCACGTCACGATTGATCAATCGTAGTTGATGGCAGATTTTTTATTGAATTTTTTGCTAGGGTACGAAGAGATGCGCATAGGTGCGTTTTCATACGTTTCGTTACGCTTTTATGCGCTATTCCCACGATGGATAAATTTCATGGGATGTGATCTGTTACGAACGAACTATCGTTCAGATAAGATGAATTATGTTCCAATAGGATTATTAAGATCTTGTTGATAAAAAAAACCTTGATCTGTCTCGAATATCACAATCCGAGTGCATCATTAGAAATGATCTCCTACGTTGAAATACGTTCTCTAACGATATAATACATTCATCTTGAGCTCTTGCGCTAATGTGTTATAGAATAACTCGTTCATTGCAATTTCTTTCACGATCAAGATCCAGATAAAATACCTTCTGAGCTACGATTTTACCCCGACAGATATAAAAAATCTGGCTATACTAAGTCCATTATATTCTATCTATTAAAAAGTAAACAAAGCATAAACATACAATCAATAATAATGGCAGAGGTTGAGGTTGATGACAACGTCACAAACGTGGTGTTTGACGTGTTATTATGTTCATATGGTATTACTGTCAAAGTAGAGCAAAATCAGCAGTGTGTTAATAACTGTTTTCTTATGTTTATATTTTTTTCCACTAATGTTGCGTCTGATCGAACGGCCGGTTCAGTCTCAGAAGGAAATGGGATCTCCCTCCTCTTTTCTTTTTCGTACCTGTTTAAAATTTTAGGTAGCACCTTTAAAATATTTTTCCAAAGCTCAGACATCTTTTTTCAATCGAGGAAAGAAACGTGTTTAATTTTCCCGTTATTTTTGCAAGCTTAAGTACTCATTATATAGCGTGGGCGTCCGCATCAAAACGTTAACACTCATATCTAATGGCGTTTACTTCTTATATGTCCGTAAATATACCGTATCAGCTCGTGAGTGGTACATCATGCAAATCGTCACAGACAGTGACAGAGCGTGAGATATCTCAACGAATCGCTGATCAGCGGGATGTTTGTCCTGTCATAGGTCGATACCGATGATCACGAAATGTAAGCTTGATTAGATGCTTTTACTTACAATGAAGCTGAGGTTAGTTACGTTGTAATGCGATTTGATGCGATGATTACGATTAAAATCTAATCGTGTTAATCGTAGACAAATTTTTGACAGTCAAAAAAATTTCACGATCAATATGATATAGCCACGAGTGATACAAGATTTGTTTCGGTTAGATACGATCACTACGATTTATCCACGTTCGAGTCCCTGATTTCAATTGTAGTACCAATCGTGATAGTGGGAACATAGCATAAATAATTGTGAAGTATATCTCAAAAATATTATATTTTTGTTTTCGTTCTCTTATTAATTAACATGACTTAGAACTTTGATATCCATTTCACCTTAAATTGCACGATCTGATGAAAATGTTTAATTTGTTAAATCCCTCTGAAAACTAACACAGAATCTTACCCCGGGTTGTCCTGGCTCTCCCTGTAAGCATGCAATTCATTGTCATGTCACATATATCATAAAATTGGTGTTAATGAGACCATAAAATAAAATCATTGCAGCATTGAATTTGATTTTACTGAAAACAAATATCATATTTTGGACTTACTCTGATTTAACACAATTTTGATCCGTAGACTGCTGTTTGTATTTGCTAAGTAAATTTATCCAAAAAGTAAGGGTTCATTCTATTTCAGGCAAAAATGAGTGTTCCTAAAACTCCAGTGACCTCCGGTGGACATGACTTTGAGGGACAATCGAGATTCGCAAAACTTGGAATGGCAACAAACGATGTGTTAAATCAGGCATACAGAGATATACTAGAGATGGAAGTACCTCCATCGGATATCGAGAACAAAGCTAAAGCATCAGCCGTTTACAAAAGATTGCGCCCAGAGCAAGAACATCTCTTGCTAGATGCTAAACATTCGGGATATAAGAACTTTGACATTTCATTAACATACACATTAATCAGAAACATTTGTTCGAAGATCCCTAAGCCAACAAAAGGAAAATGGGGAGAAAACAACATGCCTGCAGCAGGAGAGGTGACAGTCGGTGACGATATCGAGAGAATCAGGATAATCCGAAACAGTTTGACTGCACACGTGAGCTCAGCCTCCACCTCTCAGACAGAATTCGATGACACGTGGTCAGTGATGTCTGATATCTGCCAAAGATTGGAAATTTTCACTGGAAAGAAGTACTTAGATAACCTGAATACCATTTATAAATTGACTCTAAAAGATGAAGATGCTTTGTTGAAGAAAGTCATGTCAATTATGGAAAAATTAATGTCAGATATGCAAGAAGTAAAGTCAGATGTGAAAAAATTAAAGCAAAATTGATGCTTTTAATGCATCGAACAAACATGTATGCAGAGTAACTAAATTAAAAAAATGAAAATCAGCCTTTATCAATTGTAAAGCAATATAAAAATCATATTTTGTTGTTCATGAAAATCAAAAAATACATGTAGAAAGCGGTTATAGGGACCATGTGAGAGGAGATGGGTTAGCAAAAGGAGCAGACATTTCAAAATTATACTCATTTTACAATATTTGATTCATAACCCTCCAATCATTATTTAATATGTTTTGTATTTTTTTGGGATTAATGTTCTGTTTATAGTGTTTTAATAGTTTCTCATCTATATACAGCCTTCAGAAACCCTCGCTAACGTATTTTTTTAGGATTAAACAGGATTTACTTCCCTTCTGACTTTAAATGGCGTAGATGGATGGCTCCGATTTATAAAGTTGATGGTTAAATAATTTCTGGATGTGGAAGTGTTTGATAATGATGGACAATGATTGACTTACCAAAAACCATTCCACTTGGACTACAATAATCATGGTGCTCAAATCATTGAACATATGTGAAAAGCTTAACATTTTATGTGCTTTTTATCCAGCTATTACAAGATATGAAAGAAATAGAATGGAAGCTATGCAAATAAACCTAGGAAAATATGGAAAGAAGGCTTACCAAAATAAAGGACAATTCTATTTAACATTTTAAATGAAACATGCGTTCGGAGTCCAACTCTCCGACAAAATTCAATAACAGTGGGCCTTGTGCTTACGAATTCTGTTCATTCGCTATTTTTATGGAATATCACCCGTAGTCAAGCTATGGTACCATTGCTGCGTTGGAGATAATGGCTTCATCATTAATCTGATAATAGTCTTTTTAACAAATGTATAGCATTAAATCAGAATCAACTAATTTAGATGAAAGTATTATATTATAGGACTGTTAAAATTCAAGATGGTTTAGAGACAATCAAATAAAATGTCTAAGAAATAGAAACAATAATCAACCGTAATGAAAGAGCTACAGATCAGGAGCTTTTTGATTATTGTGTAGGATATTAAAGAATTGCATGTTTTACTTTATTTCATAAGAATGGACAGTGATGGACAGTTCCTTTTATGTGAATGTTTATCCTATACTGCTCGTACCTATTTTAGAGTAGGTGCAGAGTTCCAATTTGTATGGAAGTGTCGGACAAGACGGGAATATTTTCATCCACAAATGCAAGTTTTTAAATACACAGATTTGCGATCCAACTTTGTTGCCTGTGTTGATATGTTTATTTCATTTTGCTTGTGTATTATAAACTTATTATCAAGTGAAGTGGAATCAAATTATTAACAAAATGTTACATGTTTATATGAGTATACACGTATTTTATATTCTCTTTAGTACACAGATTTGCAATCTTTCTCTGTTCCTTGTGATATGTTTATTTTACTTATGTATTGTGTACTTTTTATCCAATATCATATGCATCTTATTAATTTACGGAATGTTTTATGATAATCAATATACATGTGTATTTAAAATTTATGACAATATAACTATACACTTTTTACATGCTTCTACCGAGCAGCGTGGGACTTAAAATTGGTGAATTCACTGAAAATTGTATTTTTGAAGTCGATCGTGAATGATGAACAGGGTCACCTTGTTGATAAATTTGTATATCAATTAACATTCAAATTAATATTAATTGTTTTTCTACCTATGTTAGACGAACTATTGGAACTTATTGGAGCTTCTTGTTACACGCTTTTATTGAGCAGCATGGGACTTAAAATTGGAGAAAAACTCACTGAAAATTGTATTTTTGAAATCGATTGTGAATGATGAACAGGATCGTTGTGTTGATAAATTTGTATATCAAATAACACAAACTTATATGATAAATTTGTATATCAAATAGCACAAACTTTTTTTCAGAAATCAGCAATATTTCTTATGGATTTACATTTCATTTGGTAACCTGAATAATGTGTACCAAGTATCGTGGGAAAATTTTATAAGATTTTGTCATAAGATTAAATATTTTTGCAAAACTTCTATAAATTATATAGAAAGCAAAATAAAGTCCCATATATAAGTACCGAGGAAAACCTACAATTTCTTTACATTTTAGGGATTTATAATTTTTGTCATTTCAAACCAGAATCAGTCAAAAAATATATATCAATCCATGCATCAATTTTTAGCTCACCTGGGCTGAAGGCTCTACCAGCTTTTCTGATAACATTTTGTCCGTCGTTCCTCCGTCTGTCCATTTTTCATATTTTCGACTTCTTCTCAAGAACCAATGGGCCAATTTTAACCAGACTTGGTAAAAAGCATCCTAAGCTGAAAAGGAGTTTAAAACGTTAAAATAAAGGGCCTCTTGCAAGGGGAATAATCAAGATAAGACAAAAAATATAGGGGCCATTAAAAAATCTTCTCAAGAACCACTGGGCAAGGAAAACTAAAACTTATGTGGAAGCATCCTTGGATAGTGTAGATATTCAATTGTAAAATTCATGACCCCTAGGCGTAAGGCGGGCCGCAATAGGGAATCCAAGTTTACATAGACATATATAAGAAAAATCTTTTAAGAATCTTCTTCCCAAGAACCACTGGGCCAGGAAAACTAAAACGTACGTGGAAGCATCCTGGTGTATTGTAGATATTAAATTGTTAAATCATGACCCCCGGGGGTAGGACAGGGCCTCAATAGGGAATTCCAAGTTTTAAAAAGAAATGTATAGAACAAATCTTTAGAAATTTCCTTCTCAAGAACCATGGGACAGGAAAGCTAAAACTTATTTGGAAGCATCCTTGGGTATTGTAGATATTGAATTGTTAAATTCATGACCCCCGGGGGTAGGGTGGGGCCAAAATGGGCGATCAAAGTTTTGCATAGGAATAAATAGGAAAAATCTTTAAAATTCTTCTCAAAAACCACTTGGCCAGGAAAGCTGAAACTTATGTTGAAGCATCCATGTGTAGTGTAGATATTATATTGTTAAAATCATAACCCCGAGGGTAGGGCAGGGCCCCATTAGGGAATCCAAATTTAACATAGATATATTTAGGAAAAATCTTTTTAGAATCCTCTTCTCAAAAACTGGAACAGGACAGCTGAAACTTATGTAGAAGCATCCTGTTGTATTGTAGATTCTAAAGTATACAAATTATAAAGGGTAGGGGTACAATATGTATAGCAAGAGGAGAAATCTGTTAAAGAACTACAAAACCCAAGCAAGTAAGGTGAGCGATGTGACCCATTTGCCTCTTGTAGCTTATAGCTCCCGGGGGGTTGGGCGGGCACAATAGGGAATCACAGTTTTACATAGAAATATATAGGCAAAAATCTTTCAAAATCTTCTTCTCAAGAACTACTGGTGCAGGAAAACTGAAACTCATGTGAAAGCATCCTGGGGTAGTGTAGATTCTAAAATCTTCAAAAAGGATATCAAACTTTTACATAAAAATATATAGGAAAAATCTTTATAAATCTTCTTCTTAAGAACCACTGGGCAAGGAAAGACCCCCGAGGATTGGGCAGGGCCACAATAGTGAATCAAAGTTTTAATCTTTGAAAAACATTATATTTTGTTTCATATCAAATGTTCTTTTATTGAGATGTGTGTTCTAAAAATCATTTTGTTTGATTTACAATGTACATAAAAAGATTTGTGATTTATTTAGTGATAAAACACAGGTATACATAAGTTAAGTCAGCTTGGGTAATATCAATTATTGAACTATCCATGCTTGTCCAGTCAATGTGTTAATTCTTCTAGTAAAAACATCTACCCGGTAATAATTGGCAGCTTGATTGAAAAGTTCATCACTAATCAAGAAGTTCAATTACTTGTGTAACTGATTTGATCCTCATATCCTCTAATATATCGAATCCTTATAACCCTAATTATAATTATGTCCAGTTTGATTTATAGATAATAATAACTAATTCTTTCTTTTTCTATTTCTTTCAACCATAACACAAAATATGTACTTGTAAAAGATAAATATCGGATGACATAAGATAAATCTCATTCATCTATATAAAGACATGTACCACCAAACTTTGTCTGAATTTTACTTTAAAAATATTAATGATATTTAAAGAAAGAAGATAAAACCCATGCCGTTGTCCTTGAACATTAAACAAAAAAATAAAACTGAATATAATTTAAAGTAATCATAAGTAAAAATGATTATATGAAGGAAAAGTAATCAGATGTAATTGATTACTTTAAAAATGCCTGTAATCAGCTTGTAATCAATTACTTTAAAAATTCAGAGTAATTGTAATTTAATCGAATACTTTTGAAAATAATCGACCCCATCCCTGGTATCAAATAGAAATATCTAATGATTGATTGATTGAATATTGTTTGACATCGAGTTGGCAATTTTTTAGCCATGTTTCAGCGGAAAAATATCTAATGTATAGTAATGATGAGGAAATGTGCTTCTTCTAAAATTATGAATTTCATTGCCCCATGGCCAAGGTCAGGAGTTTTGGTGAAATGGTGGGGCTCTTTTGATTAATTAGTGAAAATGCATTTATTAATTTTCTGAAAATCTTTTCCTCTGCTCCTAAGTATTAAACAAACTTACTACATGCACACATTGTATTTAAAATAAAGAATGGTGCCTCTTCTGATGAAATTGAAACTTTCATTACCTCAGGGTCAGAGGTTCTGGTGTTAGAGTGGGGCTGTATTGATAATTATTATAGTGAATATGCATTAACTCTTTAAAAAGTATTCTCTGCTCATAGGTATTAAATAAACTAACTTACATACAAAGTAATGGTGATGAAGGATGCTTCATCTTTAATTGTGTAATTTCATGGCCCTGGGGCCAGGGGTTCTGGTGTAAATGTGGGGCTCTATTGATAATATAGTGAAAATATTTTGATAATCTTCTTCTCTGCTCTTGGATATTAAACAATATACATAGTGATGAAAATGAAGGATGACTCTTCTAGAATTGTGAATTTCATAACCTCTGAGTCAGAGGTTCATGTGTTAGGGAGGGGCTCTATTTATTGTATAGTGAAGATGCATTAATCCTTTGACAATCTTCTCTGTGCCTGGATATCGCTATTAAACAAAATAACCATATAAATAGGTAAGACAAGGAAGGTGCCTCCTTAAAGTTTATTACAGGTGTATCTTGCTCCGTGGTGTCAGGGATTCTGGTGTTAGGACGGGGCTCTATCTTATATTTTGTAAAAATGCATGAATTCTAAAAATCTCCTCCTCTGCTCCTGAGTATTGGGCAGATGTTTTGCATATAAATATTTATGATAAGTATTGGTTCGTCTTGCAGAATTGTGAATTTCAAGGCTCCTGGGTCAGGGATACAGTATGGGGTTCTAGTTCAATGTTGGGGCTCTAATTATATGAATTAATACATAGAAATCTCCTTTTTGATGTAAATCAAATATTTATGATGAGCAAGGGAGCCTTTTCAAAAATTGTGAATTGTGTCGCTCCAGGGTCAGAAGTTCCTGTACAGAGGTGCCAACATTCAGAAATGACAAATAACAAGACGGGGTCTAGGGACCACCTAGGCCCCTTGCTGCTGAAGATGTTTTGTAAATGGACATGTTATCTGAGGCATATTTCCATTTTGTTTAATTTAAAACATTGAAATGAATGTGAGCGACCTTCTTAAACCAAAACGATGATACAAGCAAGCGTTGTAAGAATTATAAATATATTATAAAAGTAGAAACTATAGACTGCCAGCTATGAAAATGCCATTATTATAAACTGTGAACAAGAAAAACAAATCGGAAGAATAAAGAGAGAAATCGTGAGGCGTATTTTAGACGCTGATTTCGTACGCCTTATGCAAAAATCGTAAGGGTTGGCAGCTCTGCCTGTGGTTTGGGTACCCTACTGATATTTACTGAATATCACTGATCAGTTGAAATGTATTTTTTGACCCTTTACTATGCTTTTTGGTAACCAAACTTAGAATTCTTAGCGTTTAGTTATGATGAGCAATGTTGCCTCTTGCAAATTGTGAATGTCTTGGCCGCTGGTTTAAATTAAAATATGAACCAAATTCAGTGATAAGAAAGTCTTTGCATGATGCACAGGTGACCTATAAGGCCGGTTGACCTTTTGTTATACTTCATCCAAGATTTCAAGGATTATCAGCATCTAACTTAAGTGACATTTTGACTAAATTCTCGGTCACTTAAAATTTTAAGATACTCTCTCACACTGTATGTACAGTAATTAACTTTTCAACTTTAAACAAC